ACATTCCGGAGGGCCTAATGGGCCCCCAGGCCTCTTCCAGTGCCCCTCCGCCTGCCTGTGGCCCTCGCTCGGCCCGTCATGTGCCCCCTCCCCAGGCCTGTGGCCTCAGGCTCTGCGACAGCCCTCTGCCTCCCCCACCTCCGCCTGCCCCCTCCCTCTCCTGCAGCCCCCGGGTCCCCACAATCAACAGCAGTGCATGAGGACCTCCTGCAAAGCAACCCCCCTAAACACCGCCAGTATCTCTACACACTTCACACACAGGCGCCTGCCTTGGCCTCACCTGCGTCTCTTCCACCCCGCTGTGCTCCAGCTGCCCTGAACTCTCCCAGTGCCCTTCAAGCCCAAGACCGCCCCACCTCCAAGCCCGAGCTCCTGCAGGGCCCTCCACCAGGCCTGCCCACAGCCACGACCCCCGGAAGATTCTGAGATCCAGTGAGCTGTCCCCTCCTCCCTGTGTCTGTCTGACCCTCTGGGCAGAAGGGGGACCTCCCCTCCTGTGTGTCCCCTCAGCTCCTGTACAATCACTTTGTGCCCAAAGCCAGGGTGGCGGTGGGAGCAATGCCACCAGCCCCACCCTCAGGAGTAGGGACCACCTGGGGAGGGGGCGCCCTCCTTGCTCTGGGTCCCCAGAGCCCAGCACAGGTTAAGTGCCATGTGATGGGGGAAGCTGAGACCCTGCTACCAGCCAGGCTGGTTTGAATCTCTGCTCTCCTACTAGGTGACCACTGTGTGACCTTGTGCAAGCATCGTGACCTCTGTGGGTCTCAGTTTTCCCATCAGCAAGATGGGGGTGATAACACTGACCCTGCAGGGCCACGGGAGATCGGGAGCACTCAATACATGGGCAACCCGGTTAGTCCTGCTGATGCTGGGACGGTGGGGGGGTCACGGGAACAAACGGCTGCCTTCCCAGCGCCCAGGCCTGGCTGGGCTGAGGTTTTGTGGCTGTGCAGAAAGGGTCCCTCTGAGCGCCCCCTCCCACCAGTTCTGCAGTGTTCCGGGGCCTGGGTGACAGAGTCTCTGCGGACTCTTGGGAACAAAGTGGCACCCCTGCATCAGATCTCAGGTCCCCATCTGTGTTGGGTGAGTGGGTTCCTGACCCTTGAGGCTCTGGTGACCCCCAGGGCCCCTGTCTCTCAGCCCCTCTCCTTTCTGGTCCTCACAAGGGCTCATGAGGCAGGAAGGGCCACTGCAGCCCCATCACAGGTGAGGTGGAAATAGAGGCTCAGAGACTGCAAGTGACTTGCCCAAGGTCACCCAGCAAGTAGGTGGTGGGGCCAGGGCCCCATGTGGTGCCTCACCCACCGCCCCACAGCCGGGCCACAACCTTGGCCTCAGTGGAGCTTCACGGAGGCACAGAGAAGGGGAGCGGCTGGCTCAGATCACACAGCAGCTCGGGGGTGGAACCCCATCTCCTGAGCCCTGGAACCCCCTCTAGGAAGGGAGGGTTACAATTCCTGTCCCAACTACTGACTGTCCACTGGGAAGCTGACCGGCCACAGCCAAGCGGAGGAGCTGGGCGGCAGGGGAAGGAGACTTGTCTGTCGGTGCCCGTGATGTGGGACCCAGAGCCGTGGGTGTGAGGATGGAGGCGGGGAGAACTGTCAGTACCTGGCGCCCCAGGGCTTGGGGGCAGGAGGGTGGGCGAAGGCAGGGGTAGCTCCCTTGTTTCTGGCCTGGCTCCGGGGATGGTGGGATTGCCACCAGTCAAACAGGGGCGCAGGAGAGGGCAGGTTTGGGGGTGAAGGTGATCAGTCCGGGGGGTGAGTTGAGATGCAGTGTCTCGGGGGAACCTCCAGATGGAAATATTTAACAGGGAGTAGCCAGGAGCAGTAGGGGGTTTGGAGCAGCTTGGAAAGATAAAGGAGGGGGCACCCGGCCTGGGCTCCTGAGGTCAGGCCCAGCTCTCCTTTTGCGGCAGAGCTCCCAAGGGGACCTGCCACCTGCAGCCTTAGCCCTGCACCAGACACCCGGCTCACTTCTTCCTGGGGCACTTCCCACGCAGACACCAAGGCCCACAGAGACCACAGACCTGGGCAGAGCAGCCCTGGTCACGGTCAAGTTAGAATCAGCCCCCACCAGAGTCCAAGTCCTCCTGGCCTGGCCATGGCCAACCTCCCAGAGAAACTGACCCCATTCCTGC